ACCCCATTCCCCCGTTCCCGCATAGGTGGTCATCCTCACTGATCTCAAAAAAATGGCGGACTGTCATGAATAGCGAACACTGTGATTGGTCCAATTTAAAGTTTGCATTATAAGGACTGTATGACGACAGCGAAATAGCAAACATTTCTTGATATGATGATTGATATAATATTTCTTGCAAATATACTTCATTTTTGCTCGCATTTTTGAAAGATTTTGTAAATTCCAAGAAAGAAAGGGCATAAGAATCGGCTAATAGAAGGGAGCCGACGATAACGAAGGTATGTTTGTTTTAAATATTGATTTTATAATTGCTTTAAAACCCGACGGCTTTTGGCTTTGCGTATATGAAACAACTAAACAAGACAGCATATAATTTCAGTGTATCTTTAATATTGATTCCCTTTTTTATTATATTGAATTTTTTAAATAAAAAAGGAAGCAAAGCTATTTACATGCGAGAATTTGAAATTTGTTTTTTATGATATCCTTCACAGTCCGTGAGTTCGGTTCAATCTTAACCAAGAATTTAGATTATACCACTATAAAGAATAATGTCCCCCAGCTTAGTTCTGCCTAATTCGCTTCCGTAATGTCAGGCGCACTGGATCGAGAAGTCTGCAGAGAGGCAGCAAACGAGAAGGCATACTACAATTCGAAAATCTACTCTTCTTGAACAATTCCTACCCTTCAAGCGGCGTTGGGTTGTACACATTAATACATTGGGAATTACATAAAACTAACTTGCTAAAGTTTCTGAGAGGAATTTCATATTCAAATTTAAGCTAAGCGGCTTGAAAACAGTTCTGAATTTCCATTCATATCAATAACGCACGAATTTCGAACTCCGTATAATTATAGTCCTTGTAAAACAGACAACATGCCTCCCACGTGTTGTCTCGCACTGTTTTGGCAACGGTTGCAGCTGCCGCCCTAGTTAAATCCGGCGCCCCTATGTTTAGTGTTTATTTCATGATTCAAATGTATTTCTGTGCAATTTTAATATACAGTAGTGTTGTGCTGCGCACAGCTGATGTACCTCGCGGCCACATAAGAGGCACACATGGAGTATTTGTGAGTTTAATATAAATTGAACACTCTTGTGTTCTTTAATTGAAACGGATTTTGATATTTCTTGTCAAATTTCTGTAATATATCAAGAACGTTAAAATACAATAGACAAAAAATATTGAAAACCACGGCCAGCCTTTCTGTAATATATCAAATTTGCATAAAAGAGATTGACAATGAAAACAAAGAAATGATCACAACAGGTGATTTTAACTGCGACATGCTGGACAGCAACTATAGAAATAACAACTCCAAACGATTGGATGACCTACTAGATATCTACCAACTACAGCAACACATTGATAAGCCAACCAGAACAACTGACTCGACAAAAACACTAATAGACATTATAATTACAAAAAGTAACGCTACCAAATCATCTGATTCAGGAGTGATTGCTTTGAGAATAAGTGACCATTATTCTAGTGTATATTTGTAGGAAAATAGGAGTACTTAGAGAAACGCCGAAAATAGTAGAAACAAGGCATTTAAAAAATTTTAACGAAAACGAATTCGAACAAGATCAGCGCATGGCTGACCGTTCAAGGGTGGTCATTCTCACTGATCTCAAAATATGTAGCGGACTGTCGTGGATAGTGAACACTGATTGGTCAAATTTGAAATTTGCATTGAACGAGTGCATTGACGACAGCAAAATAACAAACATTTCTTGCAAGTTGTATTTGCAAGATTTTGTAAATATCAAAACCTTTCTGAGAGCCAAAATACGTCTAAAAACGTCTAAAAGAATAGAGCACGCTAATGAAGGTAAGTCTATTTTAAATATTGATGTATTGGTTTGTTTTATAATTGATATATTTATAACTGATAGTGGTGGGCGATACTGCGAATATCGAACTGATACTATCATTGCGTGTATAACTGAAAAAAGACAGCATACTAGAAAATACATGCATGCAGAAATCCTCGCCTTGCTGACAAAACCATTGTATTTTCCGAACAAGAAGTATCTAAAGTAGTTGTCATGGTAACACGATAATTTTTTAAGAAAATCCCTCCAAATGAAAAATCGCCTAAAAATATCACTTTTAATTACAAAATTATCAAATTCCCAACATATATTATTTTACTATGAAGTTCTGCGATAAAATGTACTTATTTATATACATGATAAAAAAGTTTTTAGACGACGTTTCGACGTTAACAGAACGTCATTATCAAGTCAGTTAAAACTAAAACTGTTTGTATTTAAATACTAAGTAAGAACAATAGAATAATATAAATGAAATAATGGCAATAAAATCCTACGGTACTAAACAAAGAGTTTTGCACGAATGGAATCACTTTGAACATTTAAAGAGGGTTATTTATCCTTTATGTAAAGCATTTCATAGACGAGACAATCAAATTTGTTCTGGCATTTCCTCAACACGTGAAACTGACTTTCATTAAGTAAATCCTTATTTCCATGGGCCTCGCAAAAGTGTTTACCAATAGTTGATGACTTATGATCAGCAATGCGTTGGTGGAGATGTCGCGCTGTAAAGCCGATATAATCCGCATCACACAGATCACATTGAAATTTGTATACACGACGCATTGGCTATTGATAATTGGCACTTTTACTTCCATCGGCTCTAATTGCTGTTACGATTTTCTGCTCGTAAGCACTGGTTGCAGATGAACACCAATCTTTCGACTCAGGTCAACCACTTGTTTTCTGACTGCATTAATTTTGCTGCGATTTGATCTTTAAAGGGCAGACAGAATCTCACAACGTTGCTTACATCTGTATCTCGATTCCGTGTCTCGTTATTTGGCATGATGAATCCTTAATTATAACCTTTTGGATAGTAGAGTCAATGAGACCAGTAGGATAATCAAAGTGGATGAAAATAGAACGCAATCGCGAACATTCTTGATGAAGAAGGGCTTCTCTGCTAGAAGAAAGAGCATATGCGCGATGTACCATTGTTTTAAGAAGGCCTTCTTTGTAACGTTTATCTGTATAACTATTGAAGTGTAAAAGTAAATCAGTGTTGGTAGATTTTCGATACACTTGGGTTTTAACTTTCGATCCATCTCTGCTTATCTCCATGCCAACGAATGGAATTTTGTTTTCAACAGGTAGCTCCATGGTAAAACAGAGGTTTGGATGTAAATCATTTAGCTTTTCAAGAAAAACCGTTGCGGCAGCAGCGTTTGGCATTTTGGAAAAAGCATCATCTACAAATCTTTTGTAAAATTCTGGAATCATACCATAACGTTTTAGCTTGTCTTCTAGGTGACACATAAACGTGTTTGCCATTAGGGGACCAAGGGGAGATCCCATAGCTACACCGTCAATTT